TTAGTTGAAGTAAAACGCAGTAAGAATACTTTTTTATTCTCCTGATGTCTGCTGTGGTATTCTTGTCTTGAAAAAGCACAAGACCTCTTTCCCTTACCACTGCTTTTCTGAGACTCAGTTTTTCATTCTACAATCCATCCATTCCAACATCTCCTAATTCTGTACAGAAATAGAACTTTGTCCTTTCCTTTCCAGCTGCCTTCTTCCTGAACGACAGACCCAACTGATTTATTTCAGCTGACTCTTGCTAACACCCAATCACTCAGGACAAATCTACACCCCACATTCTCTCTGCCCATCCTATCATATCTTTTCACAACATTATGGGCTGTGTAGCACACATCAGTGTGCTTATCCAGCTCTTCTTGCCCCTGAAGAAGTGTGGGACACGACACAAAGGTAAGCCCTACTCTCTTATTCCACATGCAGTGCAATCTGGATATCTCACACTAGTTATATTTCCCTTTTACTCCTCTGGGCAAGTTCTTGAAAGAGGCCAAAGTCTGGTCCTACAGTGCTACAACCAGTGGAAATATATTTTCCTCTTTATTAAAGGAATTACTATTACCACCCAAAAGAAAAATTGTTTTTCCCTGATGAAATTAATTCCCTCCTTTGGTCTCATTAGTATTCAGATTGTGAACAAGTGACTGTTCTAAGGAACACATAGAATTCTTGCACAAACAGAAACTTGTTCTTAATTACAGAGAGAGGAAATGCAGGAAGGAAAGAATCGATATGCCTGATTATATCTCCCCATGCATTAAACTCAAAAGCCCATGACATTTCCTGTATCACACCTTCAGCATCAATCCTCAGGAGCAGAAGTTTGCCCAGAATTAAACATCCATCAGCAACACAGAAAGAAAACAGCAAAGGGGAACATATTCCTTCGTTGAAAGTGAGGATAAGAAATGGCACAGATAAAATGTTCATGTTTCTTTCAAGATTAAAGACTGCAGTCTTAGAGTGAGAAATCACATGAAATCCAATTTGAGAAACTGAAGTGACCTGAGCACTGAGTTAATATGCTACACAAGTACCTCACAACCCTCAGTAAGAGCTATGTCTCACCAGAATCCCCAACCCCAGAGCCAATTAAAATAAAAATTAAAAAAAAAAAAAAAAGGAGCTGAAACATCTTTTGGCCATTACTGATTTCTAAGAGGAAGAGAAGTCACAAAATAAGCCCCAAGCTCTGTGAACATGAGCTATAAGCAAGGGCTACTCCTTAGGTTACTACCTATCAGCAAACAACAAAAAGCAGTTGTGTGCGGACATTTTTTTTCAGTTGTTGTTCCTGAACAAACACCGTCATTAGTTTAAATGATAACCTTTCACTGGAGTTGCTCACTGGATCCCTTACTGGCAATTACTGAGTCATTCCTTGAGCACAGAAGACACAGAGAAATCACTGTCAAAGCATCTGAAGAGAAGGTGAACCTCAGCACTGCTGCAGAGTGCCTACAGCACATTAAGAAATCATTTTCTCTCGAGAGAAAATGCATCCTTCCCCCCCGCCTCCCCCACCTTTATTTATTTACAAGATGCTGGCCAGAAGTCATTACAACATCTTCTAATTGTGCAATACCTGGTGCAAAGGGTTTCTGGTTGGGTACTGCATTGCTATTTTAAGAGTAGATATTACAGTTGTTATACACTGAAATTTAGGTTTGTTTCCTTTTAAAGTCTCTCCCTGATGCTTAGAATTATAATATTTCTATTGGTTTTCTTGCAGATAGATTATTGCATTAAAATATTACACAAAGCTTGCATAGTGATGGAACAAGCAGGCTCAACTACCTGGAGAGATTTGCACTTCCAGCACATTCTCAACAGCTGATATTTTCTAACTTTATCACCTTTGAGATGCTTACATCTAAAGAGTCAAAATAGCATTATTTATCTGCACCCAACACAAGTTTTCCTTCAAAACAAATACAGATCAAAACAAACTTCTCAGTGATTGACAAATGCTGATCTCTCTGTCTCTCTCTTTCTTCTTTGCTCACATTGTAAATACTTGGTACTCTCTCAGGTTAACAAAGTGAAAGAATTTAATTTTCACCTAGTAGCATCCTGCCTGCCAGAGAGAAGAGCTGCATAGTACAGTCTGAGCTCTCACATTGAAAGCAAGTTCTCATGTGATTGTCACGTATATCAGAGAAAAAGAAAAAAAAAAGTAATGGGGGAAACTCCTTTTGCCTAATTAAATTCACTGTACATGTGAATAAATAGTAACGTTGTTCCTAGATCACAAAAAATAACATTGAAGCTACAGAGGGAATAACTTACAGGTGGATTTTTGCATACACTGAGAACAGGAGCATAAGCTGCAGGCCACTGGTTTCTTTCAGTGGGAGCAGAGCACTCCTTTAACCCTTTTGGAAAGCCAGTCCTACTGAAGGTTCCTGCCTCTTGAGAAAGGCAGACCATGCTTCCCAAAGCTATTACTTCTCATCTATTCTGCTGAAATCATATCAGCATAATTTCCATATAAAACAGAACACTTCTCACATATTTCATTGTTCTTATATTTCAGGTTCCCATCAGATACAACCCATATATGTTGTTTTCACTCACAAGGGTTTCAATCAATGAGTGGTGGCTGATCTCAATTGTTTTAAAGGTCTAAAAGGAACAGTTTGCAGACCCATAGTACACATGTTTTAGGGTCATTTATTACCTTAAAATTCAAAGAGAATATATCATAATGGGAGCATGAGCTGTATTGACTGGCTCTGGGATGGTCTAAATTAAGTGGTCACCGGGCACTTTGTAAGATTCCTTATGATGATGTGATGATTTATCAACTCAAAGTGATCACACATGGTGGCCATGTCAGTAAACATTCAGTCTCAGTGCATCAATTTGTCAATAAGCAACCATTTTCCCTTTTAACAAACCCTGTTTTCACTGAAGTCCACAAGTGTATACAAAGTACAGCTATAAGATTTTTCACATTAACAGGTGCTGTGGTCAAGAATATCACTCACAAGCTAAGAAAGAAAATTTTCTGAAGTATTTTGTATGGTACACAGAAATCCCTTGAAGCCCATTAGTTCTCATTCCAACTGTCACATTATGCTTCTGTCAGTGAAACTTTCAATGTCTTTTCTTACAGCTGGCTTTCACCGAGTCTCACTTATCAGGCCATTACTTAATTTGAGGACATGAAACAACCTGATGACAGAAGAGCTGCTTATTTCATTCATTTTTACCAGAAGTTTCTATGCATTACCTCTTTCCACCTTCCCCCCATTGCTTCTTTTCAAGGTAATCGTTTACATTGTGAAAGTCATTGTGTTTGGTAACATTAGGCAGTCAGATGGTGGGATTCAAGAGCAGAAAACAACAATAAATATGTGTAGATGCTAATGACTGAAAAAAAGCCAGTGACAAAAACAGAGAAATTAAATTGGTTTTTGAAAAACAACAACTTTTTCTTATACCATCACTATCCTGTTTCACTGAGCTTGCCCAGATACCTTTTTATTCCCCCTGCTTATTTGTTTTATGCTGCCTTATAAAGTAAACTCTATGTGAAATATGATGCCTAACTGCAAACACTGAAAGGCTCTTAAAACACAGGCATGCTGTCAGAAAATACTTCCCATTAAATTGCCTGTTATTATTTATGAGAAGCATTTAACATCAAGTGATTCTTTTGAGATATATTTCTTTGGAATAGACTAGTTAAAAAAAAAGGAAAAACAGTGGATTTAACGGCTACCTTAGTGTGCTGAGTCATAGTCATATTTTAAAATAGCATCCAGTATTTGATCATTGTGAGAGTGAATACAACAGAAGCATGCAGGCAGTTCCCAACAGCTGTTGCATTTCAGAGAGCACTAGATCCAGTAGCTCCATTCCTAAGTGTTCCAGTTGGTTCTATACTCTGTGACACCTGTTCCCAATCATGAACCAGCATATACTATACAAACAGTAGCAGAGAATTATGCCAATGATTTCTGAAACCATAAAGAAAAAACAGTTCTGCTTGTCATCTATGCAATAATTCCCAGCAAGGAGCATGGTTTCCATTCATCTTCACCCCTTCCAAAAGGGTAGAAAGGCACACAAAGCAAAATGAAGACCACATCTACACCCAGAAAGAAAATCTTGTTTTCACTACACTTTTCCCAATTAGATGTGATTTGACATGTATTTCATGTTCCAAATGCAGAATTGATTTGTTTGTGATGAGGTTACAATTACCTGCGTGACTCATGCAGTATCCATAGGGACTCATTAAACATACAAACTGACTTAATTAGAAATGAAATACACATTCATTTAATACACTCTTTCTCCCACCAGGAAATCTTTCCTAGATGTTTGCAAACAGCAAAGGAAAACAAGACCTTGTCAGCACATGATGATGACTCGGTCAGAACCAAGTTCCATTCTACTACAGTATAGTAGCTCACAGGACTGAGAACAAGGACATCTATTTGATTATTGCTTGTTGAGGTGTTTTGTGGTTTTTTGTTTTGTTTTTTGCTATTGACAGAACAGGAAGGATGAGTTCTCATCTTTCCATTTTCCCTATTTTCTATGAATATGTTTTACCTAATTGATGCTGACACCAACGTCCTCAAGAACATAATAGCAACTCATTCTGATATCTGTGACCAAAACCCATGCTCACAGATCTCCCTGTGCAGGTGTAGCCTCCCTCTTTGTCCCATCACCCCCATGTCTATCTTGGAAGATCAGCCACAGCTTATCTCAAACTGTAAGACTTGCTCCAGGGCACAATAAGAGTCCCAGGGTATTGTGTCATTTCCTGAATTGCAAAAAGATGTCACTATGACTTCCATGCCCTTTATCATCCTTAAAAAAGGAGCGACACTGAACGCACACCAGAGTATATAGGTGAAGGTGAGACAGAGTAAACACACACTTGCTTACAAAACCCACAAGGAGTCAATTTGTACCTCACCCTAAGGAACTTACCCATTCTTAAAAAGTGATACAAAAAGAGTCACAAAACTCACATTTATGCAGGTTCTGAGAAGCAATTTTTAGAGCTGCCTTCTTCTCTTTTCAGCTACCATTCCTCCAGCAAGACTGAAGTCTAGCTCTGAAGCAAATTTCCCCCCAAGGCAGGATTAAATCCTGCTGTGCTGAGGCCAACAGCAATCATGGTTAATGTCCTCCTTCTGGCAATTCAATCACATGCAGGTGGTGAGTTTTGAGGTAGAATACAAAATCTTTTGCAGCGCAATCTGAATGACCTGAGAAAAGTTAGGATTGCATTGAGGTGGTTTTTGTAAAGAAACTCAAGTATTTAATGAAATTGCTCATTAGCTCAGAGAAAATCTGGGGTTTTTTTGCCATGTGGTTCCATCCAAAAAAGTGACAAAATCCTGGAATTTAGGTTGAAAGGGACTTTAATGATCATTTTGCTCCAATCCCTTGCTGTGGGCTAGTTGCTACCTACCAGATCAAGCTGCCCAGGGCCGCATCCAATCTGGCCTCAAATACCTTCAGAGATGCCCCATCTCTCCATGCAACCTGTGCCAAGAGCCATTTGACAACTTCTTGCTGTGTCCTTACCTTTGGAACATGCAATTCTCATACAATGAGAAATAGAAAAACAAGCATCAAATAGACAAAAGCACTGAATGTTGGTTTCTGCAGAGTTCTTAGGCCAACTTGAAGTCCTTCTGCATTTACAGTTGGCACAGTCCTTGCTTCTCCATTGCAGCACTGTAGAACTTTTCAGCTTCATCCGTGTCAAAAATAAATTCTACAGAAGTTCTTGTACTATATGCACAAGATGTACTGTTGTACTTACATATCTACCACTTCTGGTCGCACAAGAACTTTAATTCATTATGAAGAAAATAAAGCAACTATATTTGTTAAGTTTCTTTATTGCACCTGACTACCATCTTTGGCAATCCAAAAGAACTTGGAATCCGGATGTTATTAATAATGGATAAATTTCTGTATGGTGATAAAGATGCTTATCAGGATCTGAAGGCCATTCAATGGAGAGGCCAAAAAATCAAGTTAACAAGGAAACCAGTGCATTTGCAATTCTTCTACAAAGCCAGATGATTTAACTGTCCTGAACCATGAAAAAATGAGCCCTGAATTTGCAAGTCTTAGACATAACTTTTACTTCCAACTCAGAGAAACATCCACTTGTCAGTCCAAACCTCTGTTTCTAACTGGGAAAACTGGAACACTAAGAGCTATGCCTAGAGGCAGGAGACATATGACACTAGAGCAGCAGCCACTTGCATGTACCACTCTTCTTGATGGTGGCAGTGGCTTCTACAGCAAAGGAGAGCTCCTGGGACATATGCAGGCATAGGAAGAATAGCTACTTCGGTGCACAGATTAGTCAGGGTCAGAGCAGTCCAGATACATCATTTTCCAAGAAGAAATAGCATTTTATATTGATTTCATGTGAGTACATAAATGTCAGTATATGTATTGGAGTGTTGAGCTTCTGATACAGTAATTAATAGTCTTAACATTAAGACATTAATTAAAACAACAACAATAAAAGTAAACATGTAGTTCCAAAGGAATATAAACCTGACTCTCCACTTCGGTGAAAGCAAAATCTTTTGAAGAGACGTAATGAAGATTGTTCCAAGACACGAGTAAAAAGGCTTTAGAGAAAGTCAGAGAGCACCTGGATAAAATAATGTGCTATAAACAGCATGTTTACTGTAAGTGAGGGAGCACAGGACAGCACACTGATGACTCACTACAGCTCTAAATGGGAAGCTATAAACAAAGCATCTGGTACCAGGACAGAGCTAGGATGGAGATATTTTTGACTAGCTGATACTTACTCCCTTATCTCCCTAGTTTTCTCTGAGCTTTAGTAAATCCTTCAGTTCTGGAAGAATTCTCACCTATAAACAACCAATATGTTGCCTCAGTTTTCACCTACATACAATTGTTTGGCTGTCGAGCTGACAGTCGCGAGACTTCTCAAGGTCCAGTGATGGAGAACATAGACAAGATATCTCTGGAGAAGGGAGAAAGAGGCCAGCTAAATGTAAGCCTTTGTTAGCACAAAAGAGCACCTCACAATGAGACAAGGCAGAGATGCACCCAAGTGCAAACAGGATTTTCCTTATGTGCAGAGTGCAGTTTCTATTGCTCTGAACAATTTTATTTTGCTGGGGCTCATGTTTGCTCATCCTAAGCCCACCTGCTTCTGAAAGCATGTCAATGGAGAAGATTCAAATTGTCAAAGCTGGTTGATATTACACACACTGCTTCATCAGTTTACCAGGGAGTTGGCAATTTGTTATTGGTACTAGCAAGAGAAAAAAAGCAATTACTGGTATTTGGGATAAAAAAAAAACACAGAGTTGAAACATTGCTGTATACTGAAAATCCAAGGCTCTTGACCTCTTCAAGAAAGCTCCCCCCTCTTCTCTTCCTGACTGCCAAGGAAAATAATCCATCTGTACACTCGAGAACAACACTAGTTGAAGTCTAATGAAGGTCATGGGTGCATAGTAATTTTGGCACCATCACTAAGAGATCTACAATCTGATTTAAAATCTGTCAAAAAAGTTAGTAGGAAGTTTATTATCTGGGGATCTAGGAGCCATCCTTTTCTCTTCTCTGCGTTCTTTTTCCTATAATCAGTTCTCTTTCATTGTTTCTGTCAAAAAATAAATTCACAAAACTGCAATTACAGAATCACCATCCCTGGAGGTGTTCGAGAACCATGGAGGTGTGGTGCTGAGGGATATGGCTAGCGGGCATGGAGGGGATGGACTTGATGGTCTTAGAGGTCTTTTCCAACCTTATTGATTCTATGACTTTAGGTGTAGGAATAGGGAGGGAATATTTTATGGTCATGATTGTGGTATGAAAAAAAAAAACAATGAATGAAAAATTCAAATTGGTAATGAGTAATTGGTAATTCCCTCCTCTTCCTCCTCGCTTCTGACATCCTTAGAGCTCATTTAGCTGTCAGCATGAGGAATCAACAAAATCATCTTAAAACAAATAAAACAGGCTGGATGTGGCTCTGGGCAGCCTGGTGTAGTGGATGGTGACCCTGCACGTAGCAGGAGGGGTGAAGCTAGATGATCATTGTGATCCTTTTCAACCCTGGCCATTTATGATTCTATGATTCAAATCTATCATAAGCAGGTGCTACACAAACTTTCCTCTTATTCCTTATTTCATAATACTCAATGTCTTTGCTCATCCATCTTGCCACCCCTGGCTCTTGCTACCTCTGAATGATGAAGTGTTAATTTTTCATTTAGAGAAGTTAAAATTTTTAATTACATTTTTACTGTGTTTTGTTCAATTGTCTGTATCAACATTTATTGTTATGCACGCTGTAGTTCATAGAAGTCCAATCCTGCAACACCCCAACTGACTTCAGACTTTAAGAGATGTAGTCACTTATGTTAAGGTGATGTGCATCCATTTGTATTTGCACTCTTATACCAAAAAGTGAGAAGATTGGGCATTTTCTACATATCTGGGCAAAATTAAAGCACTTTGGGCATCTCTTATATATATAAATCCAGAACACAATATAGGTGCTCACACACTGGTTTCCCCCTTCCCAAGCCACATCCTCAAGATAATAAAGAAAAATGAAAATAATAATCAAATAAATTCCACCTGTGCTACAGATGTGCATCGTATTTTGCTTGGGATTTTCAATGATGCATTTCTAGGAGTTGATTTGTATTTTCCTTAGGAGTAAAATAATCTCAAAGGAGATGAGAAGGGGGTGGTGAGGACCATTCTGGAGTGCAGTTGGGTTAGAATTCACCCTTGGGAAGAAAGAAGTAGAATTTTGTTTTGCAATGCTGGCACAAGTTAATAAAACAAAATAAAATTCAATGAAAATATTGGCACACTTACATCACCATAAGTATCTCTTTCTTGAAAGTGGAATTTACAAACCTGAAAATAAACAGTAGTAGAAACACTATCTTTCTATATACCTACAGAAAGTGGAGCAAATGCAAGCGAACCCCAAGGATTTGGGGGACAGAAGGAGCTATGGCAAAGTTCCATTGTATTATACCTAGATAGTCAATAATTTACAAAGCTTTTTTTTTTTTAGAAAGAGATGGGAAAAAAAACAACTCTGAAAACGTGCTGTTGCACACATAGAATTTTCTTAAATAACTGACAAAATTGTGTCTACTTATGTCGAAGTTTTATATGTTTCAGTCCAGTGGGATGTGCAAATTAACTGTAGGGTTTTAACTAATTGAGAACACACTAGCTATTTTTGCTTCCACACCTCATAAGCATTAGCATGTCATTTTTTTTCCTGTAGCGTGCTGTGTTATTAGTTCTTTATATGAACTAAGATATTTTTATATCTTAGGTGAAAGATCCAGGTGGCCTGGTTATGCTACTCTAACCTGAAATAAAATAAGAGTGAGAGCAGAAAACTTGCCTTCAGATACCAGCCACCAGCAGCTTTCATGCCCAAAGCAAAATGTGTTACTTTGCTGTGGTTAAAACACCCTTTGTTTCAGCCCCATGTAATTCCTCTCTGGCTCAAGTGCCAACATCAAAAAGTCCCTCCAGGCCAGCACTGAGATATCTTTGAGAGCAGCAATTGAGGAAATGGAAAGCACTAATGTACAAGGCAATATTTTCATTCAAGTCTGTTCTGCAGCAGACTGTGAGCAAATGCTGACTTCACTACATACTCTGATTTTAAAACCTAAATAGGGAGTTATCTTTTGGCAACTTGGATTTAAAGCTTGATGGGTATTTAGAATGAGATTTTGCATGTTTTTAGTTTATCTCTGAATTTAATCACTGTAACCCTGTACTTCTGCCACCTAATTTCTCCAATCCACCAACACCATAAGAAATCTGTCTCATTATGAAAAACAATCAGAAGGTACAGAATCTCCTTCTTACCACTCAAAATAATTTGCTACTTGGAAGCCGGCTTTATTCCAAAGTGGCATAATAAATATCTGATCTTGGAATAGAAACATACATATTTGCTGATTGTTTAACCAAACAGTCAGTTAGTTGGCATTAATTGGCCTTTTGAAGCATTCCACTGATGTGTGCATTAGAATTTGAGATTAACAAACAGTTCCTGGATTACTGGCTGATAATGGGCTGAAATTAATTA